TTCAAGGGCTTTCTCGGTAAATTCTTTAGCCTTTTGGTATTCACAGAGCGACTGAAACAATGTTCCTAAGTTTCCGTAGTCAGATGCTTGTCCCTTTTTGTCGCCAATTTCCTCTCTGATTGCTAGTGCTTTCTTATAATATTCCTCAGCTCTGTCGTATTTCCCAAGCGACTGAACGATATCACCAAGGTTTCTGTAAATGGTAGCTGCGCGATTTCTGTCACCAATTGTCATAGTGATCGCCAGTGCTTTTTCGTAATACTTTTCAGCCATGTGATATTTACACAGCGAATGAAATGAGACTCCTATCCCTAAGTAACACCGTGCTTCTACTTGTTTGTCTCCAGTACTTCTCGTCATATCGATTGCATTCTGATAGTATCGACTCGCCATTTCAAATTCTTTTAGCCTCTGATATATATTTCCCAGTGCCAAACTTACAATACCTTCGCTAATTTTGTCATTAGAAGCATGATGCATTATAAGGAGTTCCTTAGCATATCTTTCTGCAGATTTGTAGTCAGGGACCCGGCACGCCGCCTCAAACATTAGCTCATTGATTGCTTGGTAAAACAGGGTAAACTGGTCTTCTTCTATCCGTGCGTTAGACCCGAGAAATATCAAACATTTTTCGCCCAACTTCATGGCTTGTAAGTCACCACCAGTCTTTTGGAGGAAGGTGAAAACAGCTACAACTTTAGCTAAAGTAAAGGCTAGAGGACAGGTTGCAATAAATTCCTCTATGGCGTCCATTACGACCTTTTCCTGATTATTTAAATGAAACAAATGAGACAGCGTCAATCTGAGGATTGAATTAAACTATGTTAGATCTGTCTGCAGCCCCTCGGTTGAAGAGTTTTCAGTTAAAATCAAGAAATGCAGTTGATTGTGAAGGCATATAATTCACTAAAATTTTCTTCTAACCTAAAAGTAAGAGACCTTATAGATTTGGTTCGCTCGACTTACTCTTGTATTTCACAACAGGAACCACTAATGTTCGTAATCATTATTGTTTCAAGAAGTTTTTGTAATAAAAGAGGATTGAGGATCAAAAGAAGCTGAAAATTCTGGCCGGTGTTTAGTTTTAAATCAAAGAGAAAGTGTCAAGATGACAAAAATGCAGGTTTACAACAAGAACTTATAATAACTTTCCTAAGTTTCTTGCCCTTATGACTAAACTAGTTTAAAGCAAGAATACTGAAGCACGATTTTCCCTACAAAAGAATGCGAGTTGTTTCATTTTTAGTTCAAAGAAAAATCACCTATCATATAGAGGAGGAAATTATTCAGCCTTAGTAAGGTCATTGATACATAAACATGAAAGTCGAGGCACATCACTCTATCTTAAAAGTTTATAATGGGGTTTTGTCAGCCAGCCGATGGTCTGGAATTAAGCCCGCGTTCTATCTATTTATACTTAGGGTACTCCATGGAATAACTGATATCGCATGTCCATACTTCTGAAGGAAATTTTAACCAGCAAACCTGATCATGAGTAAGCCAAGATTGTTGGTGAAAGTGGTGACATTCGGGTAACACTCAGGTAACACTCATTCAGGTGAAATTAAGGTAAACAATTGTTTCAGTATATACCACACAGACACCAAAAAATTAGTCTACTTCTGTTAATATATCTAATCAAAGGAAACTGTGAATAAGTCCGACGTGGATACATTCATACGTTTGGAATGGGTTTTGAAGATAATTAAATCTCTTTTAATGAAAACATACACTTTTAAATGCAAACATAGGCAGAGCCAATGGGTAACTCTCGGACATAGTTGAAACTACTTGCAATTACTTTGAACTGCTGTGGTGATGTTGGATAAATAGTCAAAATTCACATTTTGGCCATCGGTCAGTACAAAATACAGACTGCAGACTGCAGAACGGGTACAAAATGCAGATAAGGTACCAAATGCGGACTACATACTGCAGACTGGAAATTTAAAAAGACTGTTTTTTTGTCTGATACGTGATAACATGTCATCTTAACGACTTACCGAGTGTCAGGCAATCGCTTTTCCGCGATGGAATTTCATGTCTTCTTAAACTCTCCTCATTTCGCTTACGAGATGTCAGTATTGAAACAAAATTACAACGTTGGTCCGTACTCTTCGTCTTTTAACAGATACGAGTATGTTTTCATTTTGTTGACAAAAATGTGGACCAAAACCAAAACTGATCCTTCGATTTGATATATTTTCGACGTTCACGAAATAATTAATATTTGCGGAGTCACCTAACAGATGGAAGGGAAAACCACCAGAAAAGTAAACAAATGGCCAGTCATTAAATCAACGCTTCGCTTTCCCCTATAAAAAAATTAATTCGCTGGTTACTCATTCAGTTGAGCCTATATAAATACTAACAGCACGCAATGAAAAGACTGAAGGCTTCAAATCGTATTTAAGAACGACTGTGGCCAGGACGCTTTTTTAGAAACAAAATATACTAGGGAATGGCGAGGAATATTCCACAACGAACGCGAAAGATGATCGCGGAAAAACGATTGCATTTAGCATCTTCACTCACAGTTACACCTTTTAAAAGTCTTTCAAAGAGCTCTGACCCGGTTACACATGTGTTGACTGCGACCAGTATTGATCGAAACTCCCTCGGAGAAAAGTCGAGTTATATTTCAACGTCGCAGCATTACTTCGGAAAGTCGATAGAGGCATTCCGGTATAAGTTTTGAAGGTCCATATCAATTGGACTGCCGTTGACATATCTATTTGTTTACAGCTGAGTGAGTTTTCCACGGCGACTACAAATGGACGGAAATGAAACTTTTGACGCGAAATTGTCTCTTCGGCTGCGTGAATAGTACCTGCTAAACACTTCCGAATTAGCCAATCAGCGCGCGAAATAGGACTATTCACCTGTGTGGTATATACAAAATGATTTTATTATCATTATAAAAGCCATCTCTGGCTTAGAGTTCGCTCGAAATCAACTCACCCCGATTTGGAGACATCTGATTTACTGAGAGAAGTTAAGCCCAAGCAGATATGATTTTTCAAGTCGTACATTTAAGACAGTTTTGAAGTGTGTATCAAGATATCACCAGGATATACCAGATT